TATTTGTAAACGATGAAATGCATCAGGGTGATTGTTGACGACTTTTGCGGCGATCTTGCGTCAATTGGCGACTTTGGTTTGAGAATGCTCCATTTTGGAAGGTTGTCCTTTGGATAATGAAAGGCAAAATGAGAACACCCCAAGGGACGGCTTCAGGGGTGCACCACTAGGACAGCATCAATAGATAAATGAGTACGACACTTCGATCAACCGGGTTTCGAAAATGCTCCACTTCGGGAGGTTGTCCTTCGGATGGTGAAAAGCGAAATGACATGCGTCACACAGGACAGCATCAGGGGTGCGCCACTAGGATAGCTTCAACAAATGAATGAGTTTGACACTTCGGTCGACTTAGTTTCTGAAATGCTCCACTTCAGGAGGTTGTCCTCCGGACGATGAAAGGTGAAATGAGATGCGCCACATGAGACAACTTCAGGGGTGTGCCACTAGGACGACTTCAATGGATAAATGAGTACGACACTTCGGTCGATCCGAGTTCTTAAATGCTCCACTGCGGGAGGTGCACCACTTTGGATGGCTTTGAGAATGCTCCACTTTGGAAGGTGCGCCACTTAAGATGGCTTAGGGAATGCTCCACTTCAGGAGCTAAGCCACTTCATACGGCTTTGAGAATGCTCCATTTGGGAGGAGCCTGTAAAATAATTCTTGCAACACAAGAGAAGAGGCACTTTGGTGGGTTATGGTTAGAAATTTCTATGATTGAGCCTAGAAAAGCATGCGCGTGTTACATGATTCTACATAATAATGCATGTCTTTACGTGAATTCATGTGTATTTGATTACTCGTGAATCTGTGTGTGCTTGCGTGAGTGTTATTGAAAATTATGCTACAACACGCAAAACGAGAAAGGCTCACCTGTGGCCAGCGGTATGATGCCCCTACTTAGGCAGCTAGCCATTGACGGGTTGCTGGCTAAGTATAAGAGCTGGACACAACAAGTGCGCCTTTAGGACAAACTGGACCCGAAGGCTTAAGTCGAGCCCATGGACCCATTATTCCTTATAAAAGGTGAAAGTGAGACTCATTTGTCACATTCAAACTTATTTTCTCTCAAACCCTCTCTTTACTCCTTCTTGCAATCGAAACACATGGCCGCCAAGAATGTCATAATTTGGCCGCCTGGTGATTCGGTGATCGATCCCGTGCTCATTTTGTGAGTCACAGGAAACTAAGGGAATTCATTTCGGATGTGGGAACTTCGATTAGTCATTCCGGTTGCGGGAACTTCAATTTAGTTTGCGGCACGATTTGCCCAGCCACCTTTGTTGGGGCATGATTGAGGTATTTCATAACCTTTTCTTTGTTTTTCCTGCTTTTTTAAGGCTTGAAACATGTGAATATTGAGTTAGAAACCAGAAATTAGGCTAGAGTTTACACAATTTAGATGATTTGGGCGTTTTGGACCTGTGGCGGGCTAATGTGCGCCACAATAGCTATGGCGTGCGCCATTGTAGGTGCTGTTTGGCTGGTCTACGGGCCTGTGGCGTGCTCCATAAGGCCTAGGGCATGTGTGACTTATGCCGTGGCTTACGCCACTTCTTTGTTGCTCATGCCACTGTGCTTGTGTGCACCGTATTTTTGCAATTTTTGTCATCTTTCCTCTCTTACCTGCATCAAAACATAAAAACACGTGCCTTTGCACTTTTATTAGCATACTTACAGTGATTTATTTTTGTACAAGGGCTTAAGGCGTGGGAAATCTGGCAACAACACCTTTGCAGCCCTGTCTTATTTGTATTATGGCATGGACTTGTGCGTCCGAGGAGCGCACTTAAAGGTCGGCTACAAGCGAGCCATCGAGGTATAAAATCCCATCTTCTGGTTATTATCTATTTTCTATTTTTATTCTTGCTCTTCCTCTTATTCATTATTTTCTGGATTATTTGTGATGCAGATTTGGGCTTGCAAGCACAAAGTCCTCACTATGCTTGGCTTACTTGGCTTTGAGGGCGGGGTAAATGAGTGAATTCTTCCTTGAGGCCGAGCATGGCGGTACAACAGGAGGTATTCTCACACTACCTCGGACATCAAGATGTTTCGACAGTTGCTGAATGACTTGAACTAGAATCGGGTAAGTTGCTACATCACTTTGTTTATTAAATTTCTTTACTTTGCTTTTCTTATGTTCTTGCTTTTTCTTTTCTTTTGTTTTCTTTTTTATTGATGATTTTTCTCTGTTTTCTTTTTGTGTTTTATAGATAGAGAGATATCCGTGGGGAGATACAGCTGACTTTCCTGATTTTGTTCAAGCAGTTGTCGTTTATTAACATAGACGTCTCCTCCTTCCGGTTATGTTCTATAATATGTATTATCTTGGAGGGAGGGTATATGAGTGGGAGCTTGACCTGGATCAGAGGAGAGTCCCTCACGATATTCCATACTACATGTTGTCGACGAGGTCTCTCCAGCTGGAGCAGGACATTGCATCTGCTCGAAGAGGGTTAGCTGCTACATATCACCTAGTGGCCTTTGTGTCTGGTGCTTATGCCATATTTGCATGGACTCAGCTCCTGATTCACGTCCCTCCTCCAACTGAGTTTGATCCTTTTGCTGAGACGGAAGAGCTAGATAAAGGCCCTGGTAGATTTCAACTTTTTTATTCTATTTTTGGCTTTGCCCTAGTGTCTTCCATTCATAAATTGTGCCTTATTCTTATAGCAGTAGCGCGGTAAGCGCGTAAGCCTAGAGCTTCGGATATGGTTATTGTTGTTGGCACACCCGAGCATGGGCCAGGTGCCTTGTTCTCTTTTATCCTGGACCCCACAGGTCAGCTTGCCCAGGACATGTTAAAGACACATCTTGTCAGTCCATGCCGGATGTCACCCCCGGCTGTACCCATGTGAGTAACTTCTATATTTTATTCTAAAATCTGCTCTTTGTTATTACGCTTATTTATTGTTTGCACCTGCCCTTGTGTTATTCTACAGGTGTCCATTGATGACTACAATGAGGTGTGCTCACTGTATGAGGCAACTTGCTTGAAGTTGGCAGAGGTGAGGCTCTTGGATGAGCATATATCTATATGTATAAACACTGCAAAGAAGACATGCAATGCATATGTCATGTATGCGTGTAATGCAATCACTAATATTTATGAATCTATGCAGAGAGTTGACATGGCGCCTTCTGCCGGTCGGGGTAGAGGGATGCGACATGGGTGGAGTGTGAGTCGTGGAGCTGGACACAGCCCATGATCGTCTAAGAGACCGAGGAGTCTGGCAGTGAGGACTCGAAAGAGACAGCCTCAAATATGTCTTGAGTCGGTTGCCCCAGCTTATATTTGCTTATTTTTCCCTTTCTTCTCTTTTTTATACTCAAACCCCGTTTGATGAATTTCTTATAAAGAGTGATTATTTTCATATATGAAAGCTAGAGGACAGTCTCTTTATAAGTTTTTGAATGATATTGGTGTATTCGTGCTTCATAACATTCATACTGCTTATTGAATTTGGGAATTGAAGAAACAATAAAATAGCATCTTGTTCGGCTGGCTGCTAACTAGTGGCGTGCGCCTCTGTGCTGTGGCTTACGCCACACGCAATGGCATGCACTACGAGTGATATAGTGGTAGCTAATTGTCACATTGTCCTCTCATTTCTTGCTATAAAAACACATAATACAGCTATGCATTATAAAAGCTCTTATTCCAGCATCTTCCAATGTCAAGTATAGGATTAAGGGTTTCCTTGACTTTGGTGGACACAAAATCGTGGTCTTGATAAATATTCCTTAATTTGTTCGAAAGTTGTTTGGCAGTGATCGTTCTACTTTACTGGCTGATCTTTTCTTAAAAGCTTGAAGATTGGCTCATATACTATAGGCAATTTCGATATTAACCTGCTGATATACTGAATCTTTCCAGAAAGCTTCTCACTTGCTTTTTCATCTTGGTCACTTCCTCTTTAGGATATCAATATGAGGGAGAGGAAAATCATCATTCGGTGATGCTTTGTTCTGATCCCTGTAGTCCACACACATTCTGACCCTTCCATCTTTCTTATGAACTAGGACTATGTTCGCCAACTATTCTGGGTAGTGAACCACTTCTAGAAATCATACATCTATCTGCTTGGTCACTTCCTCTTTAATCTTTTCGGGTCATTCTGGTCTCAACCTTCTTCTCTTCTGTTTCATTGGCTTAGCTCTAGGATGCATGGAAATTGTGTGCTCAGCTATAGATTTGTCTATCCCTAGCATGTCCTCGTACCTCCATGCAAAGGCTTCCTTTTTGTCCATGAGTAGACTTTGAAATATTGTGTTTAACTCTAGCATTAGGTTTGACCCAATTAATAGAATTCGAGGATTATCTTTTGTACCAATATTAAATTCAAGCATGCATGATGAGTTAATGTCAAATATGCGCATGTGCTTATTTACTCAATGAATGGAACCATAAGGAAAGACATTAAACAAGTAAGTAAAATTGAAGTTCATTTCAATGAACAATAAAGAAAATTATTACATCAAGAGGGGCTTTAGCTCCTTTAAAGCTCTCTTCTATGCTGGCCTGGATGGCCCTTAGCACTTGATCTACGAGGTCCTCTTCTTCTTCAGCACTTATCGTCCCTTTATTCTTTCCTTCTTTCTTCTCTTCTTAGGCAGCTTGTCCCTCTTCTTTTTCCTCTTTCTTTCCTTGTTCCTCGACCTCGTGGCCCCTTATCCCCCTCTTTCTCAGGTTTTTTCTTCTCTTCTTTCTCTTCTTCTTCTCTTTTTAGTCTTCTCAGCTCAACCACCAAGATCTCAATAACATCTACAAAGATCTCGAGACCTGGGTACATCTTTCCCTTGTGCTCAAAAGGCTCTATCGGCAGACACGGAGAGGAATGCTTACTCGAACGGACGAATTATCCATCCATGTCCAACCAACCGTATTTGTTCGATGGTGTGCTCCCAATTTTGTACCACAAGCCCATGAGATTTCTCTAAGTGTGGATCTTATGTAGCTCTATAATGCCTTGCTGATTCTTTACAAGCCCTTTTCAATCTTCATTATTCATTCTCTTCATGATATTGGAGACAGTGGGCCCCATATCAGTGCTCAGCACAGTAATCTGAAAATCAGTCCATGGAAGGATAACCTGCTTATCCACATTTAACGTAGCTATGCTTCTTTCATTAGCAGCAGGTATGGTGATGATTTTCCTATTAAATGGAAACTTGATTTTCTGATGTAAAGTTGAAGGCACTCCCCCCAAGGAATGGTACAATGGGCGCCCAAGTAGCAAGGCAAAATTTTGGGAGATATCAATCACAATGAACTCGATCTCTTTTTCAATTGGCCCCACCTTGATCACAATTTTGAAGATGCCCTTCACTTGTCTTTTAGAGTCATCATATACTCTAATCACCATATCAAAAGGTTCTAAATAAGACATTTCTAACTTGAACTTGGAAAGCAACTTTAAAGGACACACTTTCAGGGCAGACCCATTATCTATCATCACATTTCCGGTCACTCTCCCTCTAACCTCAGCTTTTATGAACAGTGCCTTGGTGTGATTCCTTCCTTCGGGAGGAAGTTCATCATCAAAAAAGGTGATAGTGAGGGGATGTCTTGGACTATCCCTACAAAATTGATCAAAGAGATAGATGATGAAACTAGAATCTCCACCATGGCTTTTAGCAAAGCTTCTCAGTGTTGCTTTGACGATACTAACAGATCCCACATGCTTACATTTGCATGGATTCTCTTCATTTGTTTAATCAAAGCATCGTCTTCTATTTTTTTCGTCAACACACTCAATGAGCTTGCTCTCTCATTTTCTTCCCTCGGCTTGATCATATGTGGCTGATAAACTTGACCACTGCAGGTCATGTGATTCACTACTCTTGCTTCCTCTTCTTCTTCCTCGCTACTCTATATGTCCAGAGTAATGGAATTTACCACCACTTCATCGTCGCTTCCACCCAGACTTGCTCACTTTGACTGAGCCACTCCTCATCGTTGTCCCAAATGTTAAGGACCATAACATAGATTTACTTCAACGACATCTCTCTCTCCCTTTCCTCCTCCCCTTCTTCAAACTCGGCCAACACGTCCTCAAGAGTCTTTCCAGACTCAACCATATATAAGTTCTTAGGAGGCAGAATGTTTCTAAAACTAGGGAATGGATTAGTCCTCGTACTAGGCCTTGATTTTTCAGGATCAGTCACTTTGCCATTATCGATTAGATCTTTGATCTCATGCCTTAGCCGCAAGCAATTATCGGTAATATAACCCTTGCTTTGGTGGAAGTGACAATAAGCATTCTGATCGCAATTCTTTAGTGAAATTACAGGAGGAGGTCTTGGCGCAAGCAGTCATAATAGACCCAATGATTTTACTTTCTTGAACACTCTAGAGAGAGGAGTGCCAAAGTTAGAGAATCTCCTTTGCAGCACATTGGTAGGTCTCAAATCTAAAGCGACTGTTGTTGTATTCTTATTAGTGCTTGAAGTCTTGGTTGACTGACTAGACCCTTGGAACTCGGACTTGTTAAAGCTTCCAGCACAGTTCCTATACTCCTTGTCCTATCTGATATAGTCTTCTATGTCGGTCCTGAAATGACCCGAAAAATTATTTTCAAAAATTTTTCATTTAAAAATTTAATCATAAAACCTAACTAATGAAGTCAATGGAAAAATATTTTACTCTTACTAAACCGAATCCGTAAATTAGTTTTGATTTTTCGAAAACCAAGTGAAAGAACAGTAAACCAAATAAAAATTGAGTCGAATCACTGATTTGAGCCAAACCAGTTCGAATCGAACCAGAATGGCCCAGAAGGCTCTAGAACCCGGTTCCCTTTCTTTCTTTTTCTTTTCTTCTCTTCTTCTTCTTCTTCTTCGCAGTGCCTCCCTCTCCTTTCCCCGTTCATCTTCCGATTTTCGCCATTAAAACTGGCAAGCAAATGCATCAATGGGATCCATTCGATGAAGCTAGCACGAAAATGACTTCAGGCTAGGCCATGGTGGCCCCGTTAGAAAGGAATCGAGGCGAGAAGGCCTCGTTCACTGTGGCAGTCGAGTTGCTGTCGATTTCCCTTGAATCCGACAACTCCGACCACCAAAGGGAGCTTGGATCGATTCTTCATGCCGCTGTGAGTAGTTCTCCCTAAGAAAATCAAGATTTTAGTCACGTTTTGAGGAACCAACGTGAACGGCGGTGAGGGGCGGCTGTCGAGCACGTTTCGGCCAACTAGAGGACCAGTTTACTAAACTAACACTAGAAATGAACTCCTCATGAAATTTCAAGTCGGGTGGTGGAATTCTTGCAAATTTCTAGGTGTTTGGACTTTTCTGGCCACCGTGCACGGCGGCAATCTGCCGACAAGACTCCAACGAGGCTTTAAAAGGCAGAATGACCTCCTCTTCGAGTAGATCACGGAAGTGGAGTTCGATTGCCAATCGGTACACTCTAAAGCTTAATTCGCAATTTTTGAATAAATCCTGAATGAACAAATTAATGAATTAATCGAGTATTTAAGTGAATTAAGTTGAATATTGGTAGATATAGTTCATGAACATTAATTATAAGGTAGAAATTGAAATAAGAATTCCTAACTAATAATTATGAAAGTCAATTTTAGGAACTTTAATAAATAGTGTTAGAAAGATGTGAATTGAATGAATGAATGAATGATGGTTATGGTGGACGGGATCAGTTAAGGTGAATTGTAACGCCCTAATTTTTTTGTGTCTAGAATAGTAGTTTTATCGGTCTGTGAATAGTACCACCGGTCCGGGAGTCAGTATGATTTTGGTCCGAAAAAATTACGATATATTTTTTATATTTTCTTTAATATTTCCACCGGTCCGGAAGTCGTATGATTTTGGTCCGAAAAAAATTACGAGTATTATTTTTATATTTTCTTTAATATTATTGGAGCATGTAATGCATGGTTTTTATGGGTAGAAAGAAGTAATGATATTTTTGGAAGGAATTTAGATATTTAGATAATTAGTAAATAGTGAATTATGGTGTTATATTAATTAAGGAAATTAGAGGAATTGCTTTTATGGAGTAAATTTGAGATGGTGTTATATTAATTAAGGAAGTTAGAGGAATTATTTTTAAAGATTAAATTTGAGACTTTTATGGAGATAAATAATATTTTGAAGGAAATTAATTGAGAATAATTTTTAGCCATTGGATGAGATTACTAATGACTTAATCATAGCCATCCAATGTTGAGAAAAGTCTAAAATACCCTTGTTGCTCAATTATTTGAGCAACCATTTTCTCTTCTTCTTCTTCTCTTCAACGTGACTTTCTTTCTTTCTTTCTTCTCTTCCTTGGCTGAACCATATTCTCTCATTCCCTTCCTTATTGTTTTCAATTTCTCACAAGAAATCACTCTAACTAGACCATATGAACTCAATCCAAGACCTTCCTCTTAAAGATTCAAGGTTATTTATTGTATTGGAGCTTAAGGATTTGAAGAATTTTTGAGTTTTAGCTAAAGTTCAAGTAAGTAGATTTTGTGATTTTGAGTTTGATTTATAGAATTAATTAGGGAGTTTGGATCCTTTCATTCTCATAGCATTTTTCTATGCCTTTTGGTTTGGATTTTGAGTTTATTTGAGGATTTTCTTTCGTTAGTACAAGGTGAGCTATCTAAGTTGGCTTAAGGTTTCTTCAAGAGTTTGATTTAAGCTTGTTAGAGCTTATGTTAAGGTTAGTGTTCATAAACACTCTTATCTTGTTTAAATTTTTGATTTTGTGAAGTTTATACTCTTTTGTGAAAATTGAGAATTTTATATGAAATAATTTGGTTATTAAATTTTGGTGGTATACATGTGTTCTTGAGAGATTTCTAAGCATGCTTATATGTTGAATTGATGAAGAAAACAATTTCTTCTTCATTCTCCAAGAGTGGCAGAACCTATTGATGAATAAAGCCCTAAGTTTTCTTGTTATTCTTTGTGGATTTATGATCTTAATGATGGAGTATTTAGTATGTTGGTTAGAAATTCTTACCCTTGTTATATGATTTAAGTAAGCTGAAATTGGAGAAAAAAAAAGTGTTATTGGGTGAAATTAAGGACTATTTTTCGATTCCTTTTTTTTACCATTACGTGTTGAGTTCTTCATGAAAAGTTTGTAGTTCTATTTTCCTTAGCTTATCCAACCCATCCTCTTGTGGTCCAATTGGACTATATAGCTTCAACTTATGGCTGAAAACCTTATGGCTGAAACACCCAAACTGACTCTGTTATGACGGGCCACTTGCATCACTGAATTGACTGCCCATTTTGACCACTATAATGGCAAGATTATGTTCTGAGTTCTTCATGAGAGTTGTTTCCCTATGTCTTGAGACTTATTTGGTTTTGGATTAGTTTGATTTGAGTGTTTGGATAAGTAGGAATTTGATAAACATTGGAATTAGTTCTGCTGAATCAGGTCTGGACCATTGGTTTGTGTTCCTAGCTTTTGTTTACCATCTTAAAGATTGATTTGGGCTATGGTTCCTTCATAACATTTCTAGTATTTTGTCTTATCTTTCTAATGAATCAAACATCACTCAATTTGGAGGCACAGAACTTAAGTTATGTCTTAAAAACCCAGTAAAGGTCAATGTTATATTAATGCTGGAAATTTTCTATGCTGGAAATTTTCTATGTCTTAAATCATAGGTGTATTTGGATAAAAGTATGTATAACTCATGTGTGATGAAGTTCTCTTGATTTTTTTGTATGTTTTAGCATTTATTTGACAAAAGTAAAACATAAGTTTGAGAAGTGTTGTTATGGATATGTTTAAATGGATATAAATTTAAAAAGTGTGGAATTGGTTTAGATAATGCATGATGAGGGTTGAAATGGATACTTTGGTACATAAGAGTTATATTAGCTTACTTGATTGGAGAAGGAAATTTCTCCCCTTGGTTTCCATTAAGAGTTCGAACCATCTTAGTGTAGTAAAACTTACTTGATTATTTTATATATATGACATAAGTATGATTATTTTGATAACTTTGATATGTTTAGAGTTTTAAAATGAAATGGGTATTTACGGTGTATGTGCTTTGAATTTTGAATAAGTGCTTTGAATTTTGAATAAGGAAAATATGATTTTATATGATAAGAAATTTCTTATGATAAATTTTATTATGACTTTAAGAAAGTTTTAAAAGAAGAGGGATTTATGAGAAAGTTCCTATATTATTTAAGTATGAAGTTTTTTATGAGTTACTGTTCTAAAGTAAGATTGCATGTATGATTTCACATGATAAGAAATTTTTATGTGAAGTAATTATATTTAAGTATGAATTTTTCATAAGTTACTCACGTTTTAAAGTAAGCTTACATTATGAATTTAAGAAGACTAAAGAATAAGACAAGTTTTATGATAAGTGTTATGAATTAAGAATTAAAACAAGGATTTAACAAGGATTTTGGGCTCTAATATACTTAGAGTGAATTTGATGCATAATTTGATTTTATTAGTGAATTTGATTGCATAATTTGAATTTTTTTATGTTATGATGGCTATGCTCGGCATTTGATGCCATTATGATAAGAAGCTATGATCATATTTAGGCACGTGGGTGTCTATGTTAGGGCTGGACGCGTTCTATATGTTATGATAAGATGGCGACCTAAGGCCATTATGAAAAGGTTGGACGACCTAAGGCCATTATGAAAACCTATCTTGCTTTCTCTTTCTCCTAAGTGTATGCGAGCCCTGAGCCCTATGGAAAATATTTGTAAGACAATTAAACAAATGAGATCATATTATTATAGTAAACCTTACTTTGGAAATTAATGATTATGTTATCAATGAATTGTCAAAGCATGATACTTCAATACATGGTTTTAAAAATAAATAGTCTATGTATTGGTATAATAAATGTTCAAGTAATGAATTTATGATTTGAAAGTATTAAATTATTATGTTATTATTTATAAGGTTATTTGATATTCTAAGTAAAGAACTAAATTATTTATGTTATTAATTATAAGTTTATTTGATATTTCTTTGCTATAAATGTAAATGTATGTTGAAATTGAAATTTAATGATTCTATGTTTATCAATGATTTTTATTGAAATTGTTGTTTAAGTAAGTTGTCATCGCAATTTTTGGTCAGTATGTGAATTATGAGCACCACTGAGTTTGTATACTCAAACGCGTCGATTTTTATCACGCGTTAGTTGAAGACCGTCGGTTGCTAGTTGAAGACCGTGGTTGCTACTTGAAGATCAGAAGAGTAATATCAGAGCATAAGTGACTATTTTGGTAGTAGTATATTGAGATTTATGTATGTAAGAATTATGGCATGTATAAGTATGACATTTGCGGAGATTATGTTATTTGAGTTATAACTTAAGCATGTAATTATAAATTATTTTGGTGTATATATTTGGAGATAAGCATAAGATTTATTCAATGATTGAATATGAAATATTTTAAGGTAGTTGGTATGATTAGTTCATTAAGACTTGATATATATAATGAATGCAATAATCGATGGATATTAAATGCTATTGAGGATTTATACAGTTATGAAAATATAAAAGTGTTATTATGTTATAATGATTATTTGGAGATGTTGAAAGTTTAGAGTTTAATTGGGAGTATTTTGCATTCACATGTTTGGCGAACTCAGTTTTTAAAGGGATATTCTTACAGTATTTCTGTAGGATTTTTCCCAATGTATATATGTATATATATATATGATATATATATATATAGTATTATAAGATAAGAAAATGAAATGAAATTTCTATTATTAAAAAAAAATACTCGCAAAATTACTCGCGAAACTTGTGAATACTCAGTTACTTCTAATTCATAATTTTAATTTTATGATTTATATGTTAAGTTAAGACGGTGTCTTCAACGCCGAATGTGGCATCCGCTGATGGGTCTCTCGGGACTGGGCAGTGGCTGTTACATGAATTGCCTGATAGATGGGCTGTTTGTTGACATGTGGAATATGTAAAATTGGGTAGTAGAGTTTATAGAGGAAATGCTGCCGAATTGTCGGCGAAACATTTGATACATAATTAAATTAGTTATATCCTTAATATGTAATAACGACTAAAACTTTTAGTATTATTATTATTATTATTATTATTATTACTATTATAAAAATATTACTTACCAAATAATTTTATAAAATATTACTTTACAAATAATTAGAAGTTTTTATTTAAAAGTTGTTTTATTTAAAGGTTATAAATTAGAATAAATAAATAAATAAGGAAACACTAAGCAACTAGTAACCAAAACTAATAAATAAATGTGAAATACATTTCTCAAATTAGAATCCTTATTTTAGAATTGTCTTTTATTTTAGAGGTTTATAAAGTTCCGAAATGCGAGGACAAAAGCTGGAAGCATGCAGTAATAAAGACAGTCCTTTTAAAGGACAATAAAAAACTGTGAGTAGGTTAGATAATTTGCATCATCCACTTGTATTTGCATTTATGCATTCACAGCTAAATTTTATCATGCATTACTTGGTGAATTGCTATTTGTACTGCTCTATTTATTCCTATAAAAAAATGTCTGATTACTTGTGCTATGATATTACTGTGCCTTGTTTGTGTGGAATTGGAATGAAGTGGGTCACTATAGGTTTGTGAGGGCGGTCTTTGATACCGTCGGCCATGTATGTCGGCCATGTATGGAGAGATCGGCGCCCCGGTGTGCATCTGACGATATGGATTTTATGGAAACCACAAGGTGGCCTTCTATTGGTATGGAAAAGAAAAGAGAGAATAGAAAAACAATGAGAGGGCTGGTCAAGTGAGGATTAGATCGGTCGGCCACGTATGGGGGATCAGCTCCCTGGTGCACACGTTGTGAGAGGATGGGCCATGTGGGAGGACGGCTCATCGGAAGTTTCTGTGACGCCGCTTACTAATTTCCACGTGATGTGATTATATGAAGATGATAATCTTTGTGGTTGCTGCTGTATTGCCATTTTATTGCCATTTGTGTGACAAACTGCATGATCATATAACTAGTCGGAGGACTAAAATGATTTATTGTAGCATATGTGTGAATGTGTGGGGTGAGAGAGTTATCTAACCCTACTCATTGAGTTTGGCGCTCACCCCTGCCTACTATTTTTTTCAAGTAATAGGAAGAAAGAAAAGTCCTATCGAATTCAACTGAGTTGAAGTAATATTTATGGAAAATTGTTAATGATTGTAATAACGATGTAAATGTAAAAGACTGTAAATTATAGAGTTCCACAATTATATTCCAAATGGGTTGTGGATGGACAAATAAAGTATATATGTTAATTATATAAAGTGCACTTTTGATATGTTTATGGAACAAAGTTGTTGGGCCCGAAGCCACAAATATATTTAGAATATGGATGAATTTAATTATATAAAGTGCACTTTTGATATGTTTATGGAACAAAGTTGTTGGGCCCGAAGCCACAAATATATTTAGAATATGGATGAATTAATATAGGCTTACTACGGGCCTCGGAGGCCTTAAGCCCACCGAGGTCCTAGTGCCAGTCTGGCCTGCAGAAATAGGTTCCCACCTCATAAACTTGTGCAAGCTCAATCAGTAGCATTTAATATAGCTTCTCACGGAAAATTGGCAAAGTCCCCTTTATAAAGATCTTAATCTGCTCATTCTTATTCAGACGGTTCCTTATTTGCATGACCTTGGCTCTCCATCAGGCATATAATATGTAAAGGTTTCGTCTTGCTTTTTGCACAGTCACTTCCAAATCTCTCAAATTAACACTCATTTGGAGATTGTAGGCATATTCTTTAAGGAAAACCATTGTCAACTCATTCCAATCTCTTCTTACTCTCTTCTCAAGATTGTAATACCAAGTTTGGATGGATCCCGTGAAGGACATTGGGAACATCTTCAAAATTTTTCCTTTGACGGTAGACCCGACAATTCCATAATAGACTTATACTGCATAAGGTGCACCTTTGGGCCACCATTTCAGTCATACTTTGCTACTTTTGGCATCTTGTAAGTCACAGGGGAACTTGTTTCAACTCTAACTCCTCATCATCATCATCATCCAGGTCAACATATCCGTCAATCCCCTTAGACTTCATGAACAAATGTAGCTTCTTGAACTTCTTATCTAGCTTTTTAGATTTTTCTGAGACGATTGGCTCAGACTCAGCCTTCTTAGCAAACATCTTCTTAAAAAACTCATCGTCTTGCCAAGTGTCATCGACATGCTCCTTGTTTCCAAAATCCTTAGCCACTTCATCATCTTTAAGTACCACTTTCTCTTTTACCTTATTAGATCTCATGAACTTCTTAAGACTAGTTACCACTATTTTTTAAATCATCTTTTCCATTTTAGACAGAGGAACACTGGTCTCGACCATCTTATCAATAGAAGGGGAAGCTAAAATTGGCAAATCTATTCAAACTGAAGGACACTCAATCTCAAAGCGGGAGCCCGACGAACTAGAAGAAATTGAACTAGGTAAATTAGAGGGGGTTGAAGGTTCTTCAACTCTAATCAACTGGCTATCTGTCCTCAACCAATTGACTGCTTTCAATGCTTTCTCTCTTTGTGGTGCTACCTTGACTGCACAAAATGACTATTAGAAAACACGATATGATGCATGAATGAAATGGCATACAACAATGTGATTATACAATCACAACATCATGAAATGTGCCTAATGCTATATTCTCTCATGACTTTATCTCAACTACGCAAATCCAAAATGGGAGAAAGGCTCTTGAGAACTATTAGGAGCAAAACATATCTTATTCCATAGCCAAATACTTATAATGACTTTATTGCTTATTCTTTTTCTTATTTTCCGTATCCCTTACTTTTTGCCTCAAGCATAATATTATTTGAGTAGGGTCCTTTATTTATATATATTTGAGACCTTTTTCTTTGCTTTGGCATTCAAAATATTTGGCTAAAAAATACTCTTTCATTACTTCTTCAAAAGTGAATTTTTTACATTCATCGTTCTTTTTGAGGCCCTAACTAAATATTTACAATTTTTGAAACTCAAAAGCATAAAAGGTTTGATATGGCTTCGCATCCTCTAATGTGAAGTGACTAATTTCTACAAGGCGGTTGGTGATATCGCGCATGAGAGTGAATCACGCCTTCACACCTTGGAAGAGAGTTATGGCTTTGAGTTGCGCTTGCTTTATTTCAAGTAAGAGTTGATGAACCACTTCTAATTGGTCTTCCTTCATCAGAGTTGGAATCAGAGGAGCTTCCCTCTTAGGCATTTGGGCTTTGGCCTTACAGTCACTATTTAAAAGAGCTCTTTTAGCACGTTTTGCCTCCAATACTTCTCTTCGGTCTTTCGCCTTTTGCGCTTTGATCGTTGGGATTGAGCAATGATGGAATATACCTAGATGGCTACAAGAAAACAAGTTAAATGATGCATGAATGAGGCAAGACACATTGATAGCAATTATATACAAACAAGGGGGAAAAGGGAGTAAGGAAATGCATGACCTCCACCTTTATATCACCCACACACAATTCAAGCTATGGTCTTTTTCTAAACCTTAGGACATATAAGTTAGGACCATAAACCATAATGGGGTTTTGGACCGACGCCTCTCACATTTATTAAATAAATGCAACAATTGAATATTATTAAATTATTCTCCTAAGAGGAAGGAACTAAGATCAATTACATGAGTTTAGGTCAGGCTTATTAGGTCTTAGGTTCCATAAGTGAGAATTGGTTGTTTACTCCCATTTACTTTAGGTCTAAGCATAACGGTGATAACGGATTGTGTCAATTCTTTTGATATACCAAATGGTGCTTGACTTATGGTTGGTGTATATTAGTGGCGGATCCAAATAGTCAAGTAGAGTGAGAGGATCACAACCCCTAATATCACTTTTAGGGTTTAGGGTAGAAATGAGATAAAGAAGAGATAGATACATGAATGACATTTATAAGTACAAAAAGTAAATTCAATTTGAAAGTTAACAATATTATTAATGATTGAGAATAATTGGACAACTTTTGGAATGAACTCACTTATTCGAACCTAAAATCGAAGGTCATAGATTCTGGGTTCGATCCCCAGCAGAGTCGCCAGGCTGAGGATTTCAAATTTTTCCCAAAAGATCAGAAAGAATCGATTCAAATGGGCTTGGTTCATTTTATTTAGTAAAATGGTTTTTCTTTTTATTAAACTTGTTTAATCCTCAGAAAAAGGTTCTCTTACTTTGGAAAGAGTTTTATTTTGGAGTCGCCAGCCTTTTTATGGAAAATTCTCAAATCAGTCGATTCTTTTAAATCAACTAATCCGGCTTTAAACCAAAGATAGGATCCGAGAGTTAGGTACTAAATGGGAAGGTGTTAGGCACCAATTTTGCTCGGTTAAGTCGGCCTCCTAGTTATCCATTAATTACAAAAACTTAGTAATGCAATTAACTAAAAAATTGAGGTACAAAACCTTTTATGCATTTTGAAAAACATGTCAAACATACATTCAATATCATCCAAACAACACAAAATAAACCATCCAAAGAAGGGGAAGTGAGGAAAATAGAATACAAACCAATCTAATTGTTACAATCTACCCTCACCACTCCAATTTTTTCAAACCCAATTTATCTATTATAAGCAAGCTATAATAGGAATCTCATTAAGGACCCCTTACATTTTGCAGTAGAACTTAAATTATAAATCCAAACCACAAACAACAGACATAAAGAATAACAATATTCATAGAAGCATGTATTAGTAATAAGATCACAACATAATCAATCATTCAACAAGTATGAATATGATGAATGTAAATGATACAACATTAATAAATAATGGGTTACCACAAAAACAATGAACATTAAACTAAATAACAAGAATTTAAAGAATGTAAGTATGAATATGATGAATGTAAATGATACAACATTAATAAATAATGGGTTACCACAAAAACAATGAACATTAAACTAAATAACAAGAATTTAAAGGATAAAAATAATAAAGAACATAAACGATAAAATGCTTGTAAAGTAAAAAGCAATAATTAAATGACAAAAATTTAAAGATTTTAACAAGATTTGAGCTCATGATCTTGATGTTCATCCTGAAAGGATGAACAAATCCACCAATTATTGCTCTTAATCATGTTTTATCTGTTTATTTGATCCATATATGACCTAATATACATCATGAACCTTTTAAGGTTGGAGCTTGACCATATGATCACCGAATCGGGGCGTTTATTGGATTTTTATTCATTCAGACCCTTTGAATTGAAAGGCCTTGTGCTATAAAGGACTATGGCATGTGCCTCATACTTGTGGTGCATGCCACACGTAGTGGCATAGGGTCTTTCCCAAATCAAGAAGGCTTCTGGTGTTTCTTGTGTGAAAACAGGGGATTTAGACATTGGCATTAGGAAGTTGTGCACGCCACTCTTACTGGCCTCGGGCCATAGAGGTACAGAACCCCTATTTGGTTGATCCTTGGTTTTCCTCACAATCAGATCCAGAAAAGGTGTCTTAAACACCGCAAAAGAAAAGAAGATAGATTAAAGGTTCTTAGAAATTACCTTTGGTGGTTTCACTTAGAGAACCCAACTCCTTGGTTTTCAATCCAATGATCTGAATTTAAAGATTAAAGTTTGTGTTTTTTAGGATTTCAGATTCATCACAAGGGATTTTTTTATTGATTAAATGCTAGATCCCAATTTAAATCCTAGGTTAACACTAGTTGCTTTTAGGATTTTTGAGTTGAGTTTTAAAAATGCAAGAGTCTCCCCTAATCTTTCCCAAAATCCTCCCTTTAAGCTTACCCCTAATGCCTAATTATGGACATTTGAGGATGGGGTGGCCCCATTCAGGGCGGACATGGCAAAAATGTCACCGTGGGCCCTACTAAATCAGACCTGGTGGCATGCAAAATGAGGCGATGCACGAAAAAGTGTGTCAAGTGGGCCTGGCATGTTTTTCGAGCCTCGATTCAGCGTGAAAGCCCGGTAATCCGAAAAAATAAAAGTGGTTAAACACATCGATAATCTTAGCCACAAACCATCGACCTAAAAACCAAAGTAATCGGGAACCTTGATCCAATTTTATGGGAAAAAATGATGTATCATCATTGAACCTTTTAGGGGCAAAATTTAAGCGTCTATAGAGACAGAGGTAGGGAGAGAGGTGAGACTAAAATCAGTCTCGCGCGAGAGAGGAAGGTGACTACATTGCCCTAGAAAATTAGCGACCGATATATTGGTCGCTAATTTAAGAAAATCGGTTACTATTTCAATTGATGTGGCAAATAAATTATGTCGCTATGTTATCAAATTGGCCGCTGATCAGTCGCTAAAAAATTTAGAATATTGGTCGTCGCAGCTATCGCCCAATGGTCACTAATCGGTTGCTAATAATTTCAGCCAAATATGTGGCGCCAAATGTAGTAACGGCATTTGCATCTATCGCTATTCCATTGCTATGCTATCATTGATTGGTCGCTGATCGGTAGCTCTGGTTAGCGCCAATTATTCATGCAAAAATGAACAACAACTTACAGATGAGTTTTCGCTGCTATGCGTCAATAACATCAATGGAGGAATATGCGCACTACTAGGCTCCATCGATTAAAGATCCACACTTGCAAATCAAGATTTAAAGTTTCCAACCAAATAAAATCAAATATCGTAGTTTTATTTAGTACTAAAACCTCACAAAGAAGGGACAAAAAAACTCTAAATACGAAGACAACCAATAATAACAAAATTAAAAAAAACATATATGTTATAGGAAAAACAGATCTAAATTTATTAAAGTAAAAGAAAGTGAAACAAAAAAGATATTAGAAAGTAAGAGGTAAGGGCTAACTCAAACTAAAACGAGGTTTAGAAAACTAGAGAGAAGAGAGAGAGCATCAAGTAGACATATATCTCTGCTATATTGATTGGTTGACTTTAATTTTATTGGAAAAATTAATATTTTAATTCCGTTGGATTCTATTAAATCTAAAAAGTAAATTCTAAAAAATAACTAAAAATCGAACCCATATTATCAAACTGAATTCTATTATGTATAGTACTCGATTCAATCTATACCGGTTTGGTTCCATTCAAAATGCTCTTCCAAAGGACAAAAAAAAAAAAAAAAAAAAAAAAAAAAAAAAAAACATTTACTGAAAAAATTGAAAAAAAGAAAAAAAAACGACCAGCTCGTTATGTATGCGTATAAAATCGGTTCCAGGTCACTTTTTCTTTTGCGTTCTTCTTTCATTGGGATGCAATTAAAAAAAAAAAAAAAAAAAAAAAAAAAAAAACATTTACTGAAAAATGGAAAAAAAGAAAAACGACAGCGTATGTATGCTGTATAAAATGGTTCCAGTTCACTTTTTCTTTTGCGTTCTCTTTCATTGGGATGCTAATTAAAAAAAAAAAAAATCATCTCAGATTCTTCCTTCCACAGTTCTACTGGACTGCCACTGAAGCTTGCTCGTCACTCACCCTGGTAAGACTGCCTCTCTCCATCTCTCTGAATTTCTTTCTTTCTATCAGATTTTTTCTTGAAATTTCATTTTCAAATGTGTGAAGGATTCCGTTGATACGTATATCTATGCTTGTGGTTTGATTCTTGTTGTGTGTTTGGTTCCAGAGAAAATGAAGGAAAATTAAGGAAGGATAGTCTGGGGGTGTTTTTTTCCTTGCATCTCTCTGTAACGCATGAACTTCAACTGAATTAAGGGTATATATGAATTGGTGCTTGCTTTCCCGTTCCCTTATCCCTCCCCTCAAGTGTTTAAAATAATTTCTCTTTTTCAAGGAAAATGTTTTCTTTGACAAAATTTGTTAGAGAATTGATTATCTATTGTTTGATTGTAATATTGAAAATTAGTTAAAAGTATCAAAATCATAATTTATAAGATTATAAAAATATTTAACATTATGGTAAAATACATAAAAATGATAAAGGCAGTGTTCATCAATAATCTAGGTTGGTTCATGGCTGTCGACTATGATGACTTTTCTTGATTGATAAATTAATTATCGGTTTTATTGTGTTATATTAAGTTTATTAAAATTCAAAAAATATCCTCCCTTAAAAATGTAGAAGTCATTTTTTTAAAATAACTTAATTTTTTTTAATTCAAAAAATATTTTGAATTAACTAATTTTCTTGAACACCTCAAACTATTAAAATATATATATTTTTTTAAATTTAAAGTATTGTTTAAATTATCAGCGGAGTTTCATATATATATATATATATATATAAGATTCTGCTGCTGGATTGACTTTTGAGGCGCTTTTGCTGGGGTGTTTGGATAAGCTAAATTGTTTGGCCATGTTTTTGAAGATACATGATTCTTGAATGTTGCTTTACAAAATTGTGCCACCAGGGCCACTTACTCTAATTGGTGGTTTGCAGTCTGTCTCAGCTGTGCTTTTTGCAATCGAACTTTGCAATTTTTGGATCTCAAGGGGGTTTTATTGCTCCACAACCTATATTATCCTTGCGTGTCTTGCCATAAGCACAGTGTAAGATGACTCTATTGGGAAATTCTCCAAATGTTTCCTCTCTGCTCAATCAGACTTTTGGAAATGGGGGTTCAAGCACCAGCCTCTCTGGCTCAAGTGGTTTTCAGCTGGGAAGTGTTGATACCACAGTGGAATCCAATCCAGTTTCTTTTGTAACAAATGATGTTGGTTTCTCTTCATCGTTGGCAACAACAAACTTGATGAATTCTGTTTCTTCTAGTCAAATTCCAAATCATTCAGGAAGCTCATCATTGTCAGATCAGCAACTGTCCCAAATTCAACAATTTGAGTCACAAAGGTTCCAACATGGTCAACAGACACTTCAACCATATCCTGTTTCTCAGAATCAACCACAACAAACACAACTACGATCAATTAGAGGAGCATTAGGAGGGGGTTTGGGCCCTGTCAAGTTAGAGCCACAGGTAATAAATGATCAGATTGGCCCACAACCTAGGTTGAAGTCTTTGCAGAGTCCTGGTCCAGTGAAGCTAGAGCCACAACAGAATCAGATCGGTAGAGGCATAGGACCTATAAAACAGGAAAACCAACATTCTGATCAAGCACTCTTTCTGCAGCAGCAGCAGCACCAGCAGCAGCACCAGTTGCTCCACATGTCCAGGCAGTCTTCTCAAGCTGCCATTGCACAAATGAACCTTTTACAGCAACAGCACATTTTGCAGATGCAACAACAGCAGCAGCAGCAGCTGTTGAGGGTACTTCCTCAGCAACAGTCTCAACTGCATCATCAGTCTCAACAACAGAATGTGCCTGTTAGATCTGCCATGAGACCGGTCTATGAGCCAGGAACTTGTGCTCGGCGTTTAATTCAGTACATGTATCGGCAGCAGCATAGACCTCCTGTAAGATTATTTGTTCTTGGGGCAGCATTTTTGTCAGACATTAGTGCTTTACTGTTTTTTTTGTTATGACTGATTATTTATTCAGGATAACAATATTGAGTTCTGGCGGAAATTTGTTTTCGAGTTTTTTGCTCAAAATGCCAGGAAGAGATGGTGTGTTTCATTGTATGGAAATAGTCGCCAAACTAATGGTGTTTTCAATCAGGTATCTCTAATAAAAAGATGCATTAATTTATGAATAATGAGGGAAAATAACTGTTTTCTTTTCTTATTTTGCCTCACTTGTGGTCTTGTTTCATTTGAACCTCTATGTTTCGTGCCTTTAGATTTGGATTTCTCGCTTTATGATGCACTTGTGACAAACTTGAGATGAAATTTAATGGGCCTATTAGGAATGCTTATGCTATTTTACAGAACTCTTGAATCTTTCCTTCTATTGACATGAGAAAATACTGAAATGTGATTGCAATATTTGCAGGATTTGTGGCATTGTGAAATATGCAATCACAAGCCTGGCCGTGGTTTTGGTATGTTATTTTTTTTCTACTCCAACATTTATTTTTTTATTTTTATTTTATGTATCTGAGAGACACTCTCTGCCTTTTGTCATATGACGTACTATGCCAATAGCAATTATTCTAGTATATTATTCAGTTTCCAAATGTGAAAACAAAGGTGTAAAATGTTAATGAATATTTTGGTGATTTATTTTTCTGTCAACTAAAATGCCAACTGGCCCAAAGGTACATGTAGGAATGCTAAGACTGTAGTTGGTTTGGCTGGACTATTGAGAGAAACAATGACATGAATGTAGAGTGCATCAAGAACATTTAGCTCTAGATTTTCCACAAACAATTGAAACTCCAAAAGTATTAGCATGTAGGGTACCTGAAAAATGGTACTAAGATTCAGGAAACATTTGGGTCGTTAATGCATTGAGGATTTGTACAACATTGCTGGTGCATGATTCTCCATGCTTTGCTAGTGTTTGGGATGGTTGTCTATTATACGTAGCAGACAGTGGAAGGGATCCAATCTGCATGTGTTAAGCACTGGGTTTAAGAAGAGAGAAGCTATTGTCTGATTCCATGCTTCCCTATGCTATCAAATCAAGACGATGTCGATGTATACAGATGATCTCTTGCTGCTCTAGGAGAAGGTATTGGTTACAAATGAGTGACCTAATGTTGTGCCAAGACTTACCAGCATTGTGAGGATTGATATGTTGTTTAAAACGTTAATGGTTTTGGATTTAAAATTTTAGTGCCATGGCATCGTTCTGTGTTTTATTATTAAATTTGCAAGATGGAATATTTTATTGGCCTGAATGGGGTCTTTTCATGCAGAATGTCATTGCATATAATTATTAATTAACTGCAACATCAAGTTTGAACATCAGGAAACTTTCAAATGACTGAACTTGAGCTTGATGAAAAATGAAGATATCACATCACCATTTTCTCTTCCTCCTTTTCTTTTCTGGAAGTAATGTTTTTCCTCCTTTGCTGAGGATAACATTTGATGTAAGCGCCTAATTTTCACACCTAAAATCTTGTCTCTTCAGAAACAACTGTTGAGGTTCTGCCCAGGCTTTTCAAAATCAAATATGACAGTGGCACTTTGGAAGAGCTTCTTTATGTTGATATGCCTCATGAATATCAGAACTCACGTGGTCAAATTGTACTTGACTATGCAAAAGCAATACAAGAAAGTGTTTTTGAGCACCTTCGTGTCGTCCGTGATGGTCAACTTCGTATTGTTTTCTCTTCAGATCTGAAGGTTTGAGAGTTGTTGATAAATGTCCTTTATCTGAGATTTAAAATTCTGGATATATTTTTATTTACATTCAAGTACCATTCATCTTTGTTAGATTTGCTCTTGGGAGTTTTGTGCACGGCGTCATGAGGAGCTTATTCCACGAAGATTGATAATACCTCAGGTTACTAACTCAAACAAGTTTTAACTTTGTATTGTACGTTCATTATTTCTCTTCTTCAGTGAGGATCTTGCTATTGTAGCATGACCCAGTTGGGCCATCTAGTATTTTATTGAGCTCTCAAGATCTATTTGTGGTTGAGCTAGTCTTTTCTTCCCATAAGTTATAAATTTCGGAAGTAGTGTGATAACAAGTAGTCTCTCTTCTCAAAACTAGATGGTGTTGAAGTGTACATGAGCTGTAAATAGATTAGGAAACTTAGTTTGAAATCCCTCGGTTAAAGGGCTTTGATTAGATAGTTTGACTAGTTTAGTTTGATTCATATCATTAGCCTTAACCTTAGGCTTGATTATAGGAATTATTTTAGAGTGACTGTAGAAGTGATTCTAGGAGTAGAGTCATATATAAATGTGTGTACCAAAAATAAGGGAGAGTAAAATTTATTACACGGTATTAGAGCCCTAGGAGTTTTCTTTTTTGGCCTTCATCAATGTCATTTTCCTTTATTTTTCTTCTCTGATTACTGTTTAGGAAGCCTTAATTGTTGCAAATTTCCTACACTATGACAATATCTCAAATCACAATCACTAGAAATTAGGGATGACCGCAGTTCGGTTTCAAACCGGAACTGAATTGATACTGAACCGGTTAAAATCGGCACTAAACCGTGGTCAACGGTTCTAGTTCCAAACCGTAACCAAAACCTTGTGCTTAAGGTTCGATTCTGATTCTTCATATTTTGAAACTGAAACCAACGGTTTTGGTTTAAACTCAGTGGTTTCAATTTGAAACCGTGAAAAAATGTCCTTAAAGAAAGTTCCCACTTATTTTGTGTTTTATTATAATTTTTTAAAGTAACTTTTAAGAATTTTTATTAAACTGGTTTAGTTCTTTTCGATAGTAATGTTTATTATTATTATTATTATTATTATTATTATTTATTCAAGCCAAAAATCTAAAAAGGCATTTTAAAAACTTTGAAATCTATTATCTAATTTCGGTTTAAAACCGGAATATAACTGAAACCGGTAGTTCCAAAACCGTCTTAAAAACCGCCTAAAAGTGGTTCAGTTCCGGTTCTAGTTCCACCTTTTTTATAATTCAAACTGGTGGTTCTGGAACTGGGATTGTGCCTACTAGTAATAACCCATCTGAAGAGACTGGTTCTGTTCAAAAAGTAGGAGAATTGTAGAATATTTAGGCCTCTTATAGGCTTAATGCGAAATACTACCTGAAATGGACTCCATTCCTTTGCACATACCTCAAAGGGAAAGGAAAACTTGATCACCTTCTTGGAATAGGACCAACAAAGGATGACCCAAACTTTGGAGCATGGGATGAGGAGGATTGCATGAAAATATTCTGGTTATGGGATTACATGAATCCTTTGATTAGTGACATGTACATGTTTTTTTCTACAGCAAAGGAGTTTTGGGACTTCACTTGTCATACACATTTGAAGGCTTGTGATGCTGCGTGTTACTAATTGAGAAAGAAAGATTGTTGGTTGTATTTCATCAATGAGAAAGACAAGTATATACATACAAGTTATTGCTAAACTATTTAGGAGGAAATTCTATGATTATACTGTATACAAATTGGAATCCTGACTTTGAGATGAAAGCCTTGATGATGTTGCCATCTTGAAGAGTTTCATTAAAAAGACGGTGTCTATGTTTTTTTGCTAGGACTGAACCCTGAATTTGATCAGATTAGGGTTCAAATACTTGGAAAGGAGGCCACACCATCTATAGATGAGACAATTTCATTGATTCGAGCAGAAGAAAGTTGCCAGAATGTTTTGCTTGAGCCACAATCTGTGAACGGATCAGCCCTAGTAGCAAAAAATAATTTGCCCACACACTTGATAGAGAAAATCAGGGGAAGGAGAGCAAGGATAGTCTCTGGTGCACCTATTGCAAGAAACCAAGGCAAACCAAAGAGAAATGTTGGAAGTTGCATGGTAAGCCACCAATTCGAGACTGGGGAAACCATGGGGGCAACAGAGGCCTCAAGCACCAATGGCAGAACAACCTAAAACCGAGGAAAATTCTGCAACAAGGGGATTGAACAATGAAGAAACTGAAAAGCTAAGAAGCTTATTGGGGTCACTTGAGAAGCCTTCCAGAGCTTGTTCTTTGGTGTTTCAAGTAAACATTTATCTCCTCATTGCATAAATGCCTTAGGTAAACCAATATTTCCTTTTTGCGTGAATGTCTCAAATACATTTTATGTCAACTCTTGGACAGTAGACTCTAGAACCACAAACCACATGACCCTCACATCTCAATTCTCCACACCTATACACCCAGCCAAGTAATAGAAAAATTATAGTGGCCAATGGTTATTTAGTTATTGCTATAGGTTTTGGAGATATTTATATCACACCAATCCTTATACTTAAAAATGTCTTACATGTACCAAAACTTTCAGCCAGCCTGGTTTCTGTTCAAAAGCTTACATACGATCTTCAATTTTATGCAATTTTTTCCCTACTTAATGTGTTTTTTAGGACCTGGACTTGAGGAATATTGGACTTGCTAAGAAAAAAAAGCGGTCTGTACTACCTTGAAGCACTTAAAAAAAGTAGAACCAATTTGTCTCTGTCTTTTCTCAGTTCCTCAAATAAAGATGCCATTTGGCTATATCACTTTTGTGTAGGTCATCTATCTTTCAAAGTCTTAAAAATACTGTTTCCTCAATTGTTCCAAGGATTAAATATTCTGGTTTCATTGAGCTATTTGTTAATCGGCAAAACATACTCTTGTATCTTTTTCCTATTTGCAATAGAAGTTGTCATCCTTTTCAATTGACTCATAATGACATGTGGGGTCCTTCCTCTATACCTAATGTTTCTAGAGCTTGTTGGTTTGTCTCTTTGATTGATGATTGCACTCGGGTTACATGGCTTTCTTCTTAAACAAAAATCTGATGTTAGCATTGTCATACCTAATTTCCATTCAATGATTCCAAACCAATTTGGGTTGAAATAAAAGGGTTTAGAACAAATAACGTTAGACTACTTTGACCATATTTTGTCACCAATATTTTCAATCGCAAGGCATTATCCATGATCCGTCATGTGTTTAACACACCCCAACAAAATGGGGTAGCTGAAAGGAAAAATAGGCACTTACTTAATACCAACCAAGCTTTACTCTTGCAAGGGAATGTTCCTAAATCTTTTTGGGGAGAGACTGTCCTTACTGCCACATATATGATAAATAGACTTCCTTTACGAGTACTGGACAATAAAAGTCCCATAGAATTCTAAATAATTTCTACCCTCACTTTAGAACTTCTAATGGTCTCACACCTAGCGTATTTGGGTGTACAACCTTTGTTCATGTCGATAACTAACATTGAGGCAAGCTAGACCCTTGAGCCATTAGATGTGTCTTCCTTGGTTACTTACCCCCTCAAAAGGGCTACAAAATCCTTTTCATCCAAAATCTTTGCAGATGTCACCTTTGCTGAAAATACTCCTTTTTTCTCCAAGTCCTTTCTTCAAGGGGAGAGTTCAATGATGGAAGATAGTACTTATGAGTCTCTTGAACCACTCAAAACCCTTGACCTTCCTCATGTTCCAACCCGTGCTGAATCTGAACCTATTAAGCCAATCACATCTGAATCACCTAATTTTGCATCCACATCCGAGTCATGTCCTGTCCCAACTAGTATTACTCACAATGTTCCAAGGTACTCATGTATACTCAAGGAAGCAGGCCGTTCCAAAACTGGCACATATATAAAAGAATCCAACTCAAACTCAGGGAATGAGATCACGGTAAGATCCGATACACCTTTACATACACAGTCTGTTGATACATCTATTAACCAAATAGATGATCTAGACCTTTCCATTGCTGTTAGAAAAGTACCAGAGAGTGCAGCAAACGACCACTTTCCACTATCTCATTATGTTTCTCTTAAACACTTGTCACAAGCTGTTACGACTAGTTCTAAGGATATTTGTGAAAGTTAAATTTTTGGAATTTACTATAAATGCCCCATTATTTTCATTCTCCTCATACCAAATTATTTCTCTCTATGTTCCAATCTCTCTGAGCTCTCCAACATATAATTATTGTCCAAATTATTGTCAAATAATTTCTCGAATCTCTAATTCAATTCAAGCCCCTTGTTTTAAATTTCTCTTAAAGTTTTTTTTTTTAATTATTTCCTAAATATTTAAATTTTAAGTTTGGAACAAAAAATGTTTCCTAATTTTTTGTTTTTAAAATTATGCGAACCGCTCGGAAAACCGGCTGGCTCCAAACCATAACCGCAACAATTATTGTCAGTTTTTGGTTTTATATTTTTTGGAACCGGAGCTGTTGGTTGTGGAACTGGAGCCAGCAGGTCCGGAACTGTGGCCACCCCTAAACATAAGCATACTCAGTGAGCTTGATTAGTCAATTCATGCATGATCCAAGAGAATCTCATCTTCAAGTAGCTTATAGGATATTGCGTTATTTGAAAGGCAATTTGGGGAAAGGAATCTTGTTTAAGAAAAACAACACTCTTGATCTAGAAGCTTACTTTGATGTTGACTATTTAGGTTTCTTAGTGGATAGAAGATCAACTACTAGGTACTATACTTGGAGATAATCTAGTAATGTGGAGGAGCAAGAAACAGAATGTGGTGGCAAGGTCATCTATAGAATCAGAATTCAGGGCACTTGCTCAAGGATTGTGTGAACTACTTTGGCTAAAGATATCCTAGATGATTTGAGAATCGAATGGGAAAACCCTATGAAGCTCTACTGTGACAACAAATCAGCTGTCAATATTGCTTATAATCCTATACAACATGATAGGACAAAGCATATTGAAATTGATACGCTTCATTAAAGAAAAGTCGGAGGAAGGATTAGTGTGTATATCCTATGTTCCATCAGGATGCCAATTAGCTGATGTTCTAACAAAGGGGTTGAATAGTTCGAGTTTCCATGATCTTATATCCAAGCTGGGAATAGAAAGCATCTATTCCTTAGCTTGAGGGGCAGTGTTGAAGTGAACATGAGCTGTAAGTAGATTAGGAAACTTAGTTTGAAATCCCTTGATTAAAGGGATTTGATTAGATAGTTTGACTAGTCTAGTTAGATTGATATCATTAGCCTTAACTTTAGGCTTGATTATAGAAATTACTTTAGAGTGATTCTAGGATTAGAGTCATATGTAAATGTGTGATTGTCAACTAACAATAAGTAAGAGAGGATAAAATTAATTCACGTTTCTTACAGATGGAAGCTGAACTGATATGGGAATCTACTCCAAAAACTCTGCAGCTCTGAATTTAATTAAGCCTATAACAAAAAGCCTTAAAGGGATGTTCCTTGTAGCAAAACAGGAGGAAGGGAGGCCCTAGTCAGGTCATTGAGATACTTGGCCTTTTTAATTGGGGTCTTAGCCTAAATTAAATGATAAACTAGCGTGCCCCTTTTGTGGCGGTTCATCTTAGGTTCCACACTTTATTGGATTAGTTGACTAAGATTGTCACCAATCATTTCATGGTCAACATCTCCAAGTGTCTTCAGCATCTTAAATATGCCGTCCCTTTATGATCTGTAAAGATGCTCCCTACACCTGGCTGATTTAATTGCCCTAGTAATTGCAGTTACAGGTAACTAAACCTGAATCAGTGCTTTGCCTATCTTTAAAAATAAAAACTAATTTGATTAAATCTTGTACCCTAATTTATATGGAAACTTTTACAATCTGCTATCAATACTTCCACTCTGTATATGTGTGTGTGTGGGCGTGTGTGTGTATTCTAGAAGATACAAATACCTTTGCTCTTGTGTGATTGATTCTTTCTTTGCTACTGTTACTGCTAATATGGTATGCTGGAAGGGGATTTTGTTGAATTCTGGAGATTCCATTTCATAGATAAATTTTCATATTCTGCAGGTGAGTCAGCTTGGAGCTGCTGCACAAAAATACCAAGCTTCTGCTCAAAATGCATCATCCAGCTCTTCACAACCTGATTTAGAAAGTAACTGTAATATGTGAGTTTTCTTTCCTTGAATTTCTCTTGGTTACTTTCATAGGATCAGAATGCTTTTACTTTTTCCATTTTTTAGAAGAATACCATAATTTTCCTTCAAGTAACTTTTTCATATGTTTTCTCCATTATTTCCTCTTGCCCAACTACTTATGCAAGTATTTTGACAGGTTTCTTTCATCTGCTCGTCAATTAGCAAAAGCTTTGGAGGTACCTTTGGTTAATGATTTGGGTTACACAAAGAGATATGTGCGGTGTCTCCAGGTATCTTCCACCTGCGCCTTTGTGATTTCAAATTGACTGTCCATAATTCTTGGACTGATTTCTTTCCAAATTGGCTATTGGTACAAAATTTTTTGTGGAATTCTTTTGATTAATTTTGTCTGCCACATCTTGGTTAATTTTCATGTGGAAATTTTTGTTTCCAATCTAAAGTTGCTGCGATGCATGTTTCTTTGAAGAATCTGATTGTTGTGATGCATGTTACCGGCTATCCTCCCGACTCATAATGCTTTTGATCACTAAAATTAGTGCCTTTGATCACTAATATGGGCTAGTTATAACATGTGATGCATGTTTTTTTTTTTTTTTTTTTTTTTTTTCCAATCTAAAGTTGCGTGCGATGGCATGTTCTTGAAGAATCTGATTGTTGTGATGCATGTTGACGGCTATCCTCCGACTCATAATGCTTTTGATCACTTTAAAATTAGTGCCTTTGATCACTAATATGGGCTAGTTATAACATGTGATGCAATGTTCTTTTTTTTTTTTTTTTTTTTTTTTCCTTTATTTTTCAAATATTTCATTTGCATTTGAAAATAACATCCGACGGCTAAGTATGCAAAATGATGGATATCTCTGCAGAGAATGGGTTCTGCTGCTGACATGCCGTACAGTCAACCTTTCACTTGTTTTGAAATCTTTGTGATAAAGTTAAATATTGTTGTTTCCTAGTTAGGTTTATTCCTATTAGTGCTAAGAATTATGTTTCCTAGTTTAGGATTTCTTATTTTAGATTTTACTTCCTATATTGCGAACAATTTTTGTATAATATAGGTGAGTAGACGTTGGAAAATATATATCACAAATTTGAAGAAATAAACAATAGTTAAAACATAGTCTTTCCTTTAATTTCTACATGGTATCAGAGCCATTGCCGTGAATTTTTCGGCAACGGTTTCGGTTTGAAATAGGGCTGAGATACACACAGTGTCGCTGGGAGTGGCAGTTGGCCGTCACCGCCCAGCTCATGAAGGAAGAGGGACCGCCGATCGGCCCTTCGTCCAAGCTGCGTCGCCGTCCGAACGCGTGTGCACACGCGCCGCCAGAAGATTTCGGTTGTTCTTCACGCGCCGGCGCGTGCGGTTGTTTCCGGCGAGCTCCGTCGATGTTTCTTGTTCCGACGAGCTCGACTTGTTGTGGCGTTTTTTCCCCCACTGTTCTTCAGCACCAGTTTTGCGTTTGGAATTTTTTTCTGTTTTTTCCAGTGTTTTTCTGCCACTGCTGGTTCTTCACACTTCTGTTTGAATTTTTTTTTTTTTTAATCTGACAGTATGGGTGACGGAAAGGTGGATATAAGTTTTCACTTAGAGAGTCCCTCACTTCAGATTAGTCCAGTGAAGTTAGTTAGATGGAACAAACTACCTAGCTTGGTCTCGGTCTTGTTTATTATTCTGCTCTATTAATTTATTGAAAGCAGAGGTTGCAAGGATACCTTGAATGGTTGGAGCGACTAAACCCAGTTTCGACAATTCCGGTTTTAATACAAAATGAAAATCCGAAAATTCTCTTATTATGTCTTGGTTAATAAATTCTAATGCAGCCTAACTATTTCCCGAGGATAATTTTGCTTCTTGATACAGCTAAGAAGATATCGGGATGCTGCTTCACAACGTATTCACAAACTGGAAACTGAGCCCCTCAGAGGTATGAAATTGCGATAGAAAGTTCAAATGAAACAAGCAGGGAGATCTGACCATCCTCGCTCAGTAATTTTGGCGAACTTAGTGGGTTTAATGGAGGAACTAGATTATTATAGACTTTCAAGGCAAAGATGTATTGATGCAGCGACTCAAGTTCAGAGTTGATTGAAGTAGAACGTGTGTATGATTTTTGGCTGGCTTGAATTAACGAGTATGGATAGATTTCGGAGTCAAGTTCTTGGATGAGATCCTTTTCCATCTTACGACAAGTATACTCATTTGTACAGCAAAGAGAGATAGGAAGAAGCTTATGGTCACAAATCTACATCCATTGACAAAGCACGGTGTTGATTGCTAATTCTCAAGAGAACCATATCCAGTTGCAAAGAACAGTTCTTCAGATAGAGATCAATATTTTGGTGACTTATTGTGGTAAGAACAGCACACCAAAGGAGTAATGCTGGCAATTACATTGACGCCCAACTAAAAGGGGTGGAGGAAAGCGGAGTCAGTTCTTCTAAGCACAGGCACACATAATCTGATAGTGGAGCTTTATCTGAGGAACCATCTACGCTGGAACTTTTTTGATAAGGAGATCAGTCCCTGAAACGATTATTGTCAACAGCTTGATTCGTCCTCAACTCAGATTGCGGCCTCCATTTTGTTAATTCAGGTAATGGTTTTCTTAACCTTTCTTGCCAAAAATTTGCAAAAACCCTCTTGGGTTATAGATTTCAGGAGGCAAATAAACATAAACATGCTCCTATAAACATTTCCTCAATATTCTAATAATCAAGGCACAGACAAAATTCGCATTGCGGATGGCTCATTAGTACCAATTGCTGGCACAGGTTTTATTGACTGTACTTCCAATATTAAACTCTCCCATGTTCTTCATGTTCCCAGATTTCCTATTAATCTGTTATTTGTCAGCTTAATCACAAAAGTACTTAATTGCAAAGTAACTTTTTACCCAACTCATTATATATTTCAAGAACTGAACATGGGGAGAATGATTGGCAGTGGTAGCTTGCGCGATGGACTATATCTGTTGGATGACGTTTGTCATTTTTCAAATTCGGGTACTAGTCAAGCTTTGTTAGGAACTTTTAGAAATCCTTCCGATGAAGTTATTCAATGGCATAGTAGATTAGGACATCCCTCTTTTTCTGTTTTAGGACATTTATTTCCCACTTTGTCTGCTAAATGTGATTTTAATTCATTAGTATGTGATGCTTGTGAACAGTATGTGAATGCTTGTGAACTTGCCAACACAAGACCTGTCATTCTTATTCTCGATTAATGAATAAATTTGATTCCTTTTGCTACTATTCCATTCCTTGATGATTTTGGGGTCCCACTAAAAAACTGTCTTCTCTTTCTGTTATAGAGGTTTGTGAACTTTATTGATTGTTTGCAACTAGGTTGACTTTGGGTTTTTATTTGATGAAAAACGCAAATAGAAGTTTTTTCGTTGTTTCAGAATTTTCATAAAATGAATTTGTACTCAGTTTGATGGCGCATAGTTAAAATCCTAAGACTGATAATCGGTACATAACATGAATGCAGATATCGTACCCTATTTAGATTCTAATGGATTATCCATTAAGACAGTGGTAGTCAATTACTAGTGCTCAAATGGAGTAGCAGAAAGGAAAAAAATAGGCATTTCACTGGAAGTAGCTTAAGGTCCCTTAATGTTCACCTATGAATCTTCCCAAACCATATTGGGGGATGCTATTTTGATGCTGCTTACCTTATCAATCGTATACCTCTTTCGTACTTTGAATTCAAGGAAAAAACTCTTATATTGTACCTCATGAAGTCTTCGGTTGTGTTTATTTTCTTCATAAGAGGTCTTTGGCTGTGTTTGTTTTGTTCATCGGAATGTTCTAAGCAAATTAGATCCTAGAGCTTTAAGGTGTGTGTTTGTTGGTTACTTTACTACTCAAAAGGGATAGAAATGTTATTATCCTCCTTCTACAAAATAGTTTATGAGCATGGATGTTACCTTTTAGGAATTTGAGTCTTATTTTCCTTCCCGGTCACCTCTTCAGGGGGAGAAATATTATATGGAAGAGTGATGGATGACATTCCTTTCTAGGAGGAGATTCCTATTCCAGGGGGAGATTCCTGTAGACATAGATAGTAAGAGAGAGCAACCACCCAAATCTCTAGGAAGATTGGATAGACCTAATTTGAAAACCTACACATGGCAGACTAATACAGATACAACCATGGAGCATGAGACCTCTGATCAACCGTCCTCTCCAATTTCGGTCCCTGAAGATATAGAAAAGCAAGAACTCGGTGAGTCTTCTTTAATTCCTGTTGATTCTGATCCTAATCTTGATTCCAGTCCTTCTGATAATGACCTTGATATTCTTATTGCTCTTAGAAAAGGAGTTAGAACATGCACTAAACATCCTATCTCCCAACATGCACTAAACATCCCATCTCCCATTTCATCTCCTACAATGCTCTGTCCCCTTCCTATAGAGCCTTTGTTTTGTCTGTTTCTTCTATTTTTATACTGCAGGATTGGCAAGAGGCATTACAGGATTCAAAATGGAAGGCTGCAATGGTTGAGGAGATGAGAGCTTTGGCAAAACATGAGACATGGGATCTTCTAACTCCTTCACCAGGAAAGCCAGTTGGATGTAAATGGGTGTTCACAGTTAAACATAGGGCAGATGGTTCAATTGAGAGGTACAAGGCCAGATTGATAGCCAAAGGATTCAGCCAGGCCTATGGTGTTGATTATCAGGAAACATTTGCCCGCCCCTGTTAGCCCAAGATGAAACACAATCAGAATTTTGTTGTCTTGTCCAGTCAATCTTGACTGGGAAGGTTACATCAAAATTTGATGTTAAAAATGCTTTTCTACATGGTGAATTGAAAGAAGAGGTGTATATGGAGGAATTCCCCCTGGATTTGATGAATGACAAAACCAGAGGAAAAGTTTGCAAGCTGAAGAAGTCATTATACCTGGGCTAAAACATCAACCAAGAGCAAATGGTTTTTGAAAGATTTAGTAAAAGCTATGCATTTCCTTGGGTAAATCAGTAGCGATTGCTGATCATACTTTATTCGTTAAACATCATGAAGGTAAGATCACGTTCTTAATTAACTATGTTTGAGTATAGTGATGACTGGAAATAATTGAAGAAAAGAAATGACTCACTTGAGAATTGTTTAGCTAGGGAGTTTGAAGATTAAAGGATTGGGAAAGTTGAGATATTTGGCTTGGGATAGAATTGCTAGGTCAGAAAAAGGGAAATTTTTTATTTCTCTCCAGAGAAAGTATATCTTTGATCTCCTTTAAAGAACTGGTTATGGTTG